CAAATAAATTTGTTAGTCTCTAAGGTGCCACAAGTACTCCTTTTCTTTTTGCGAATACAGACTAACATGGCTGCTAGTCTGAAACCTAAAATAGCTTAAACATTCTTCAAATAATGGAGACATTTAAATGTAACAGAAAATATATACTAAGAGTCGATTATTAGTTCATTTCTTTAAAGATCCTTTGAAATAAATATTTAGACATGTTCTTTGTGAGCTGCCAGGCAACGAATTACTTTACATTCCCATAATACAGCTGCCCGACCTCAGAATCAAATTCACATCACACTTCAAAAAATGCACAAGAGAAGAGATTGGTCATGTTTAGTAATACTTAAACTAACATTTAAACTTTGATATTGCGATTAACCTTCTGTAAAGTACTCAGCTTGCAATTTTTGCTTAATTAAAAAAATCTGTACAATTACCTCAGCACCTATCAAAACATGTCAGTTTGTCAGAATGCATTCCCATCACACAAGCAGTTCCTGTAACATGCACAAAATCAATTCACAGTGCACTACTCCCAATCATATTCTGTAATTCAAACAAGACAAGAAAAGCTAGTTGTTAATAACAGCCATCCAGGCTACAGGTGTGCAGTGTCAGGTTTTTGAAAAGCATATATATCAAAATGTTTACTACAAATTGTGTCCCCATCACAAGATGCTTACAGCTGGTGGACAAAATGTGACTCTTCCACACCTGAGGAAAACAGAATGGTACAGGTTCTGAAAATGAAAAGTGTACTTGTGCAATCTTTGTACTTAATCCATTTAGTTCTAAAAAATCCCTTTCCTTATATACATGAAATGTATACAGAGAACAAGCATAAACTAAATGTGTACTACTGTACCTATAGCTGTGTTTCTACACTGAGGACATGAATTAAAATTTCTTGATGTTATAGCAAAAGATACCATGTCATGCCACAAACTGGTTATTTTAGTCAATTATGTTATTCATACAGTACCACAGGTGTATACAGCACTGATGAAAGGAAAAATACACCATACAAATGGAGTCCACCTGCTCCATCTACTATACTATATGACGTTATCTTCCCTATATTATTGGGAAGATGTGCTACGCACTAGTTGGTTATCACTTTCCAACCTAAGAGTGGCTGCATTTCAGTGGTACTGTTACGTATGTAATCGGACTATGCACATGTATATAAACTATACCTAGAGATCATGAAGTGTAGGTGCCTTCGCATATTAAATTATTTAGGGCTATGTTATCACTTGGACTACGTGAGCCACCTACCTCTCCCCGCCCAGAGCAGGTGACCATGGAAGAGAAGCAGCACTGACTGTGCCTTCCCCCCAAATGTACCTGCCAGAATAGCTATATCCACACAAGGGATGTCATAATAGGCTGCTGGTATCTGTCCTCTTCCCTCCCTCAGAGCAAGGGTCAAACAGGAAGGGAGCCGAGCCTTCAACCAAGTCCGCCCCTTGTTCAGCATTGTGCTCTCTAGCCCTTCTCAATCTAGCCCCTAACAATTTAGAACATGAAGCGAAGAAGATCTTTTCCAATTAAAACTGCAAAAAGAATGTAGGAAGATAGCATATAATTACCAAACTTGGAATTGGTCCTGGACACTAGGGTTAACCCTGTACTCTTCTGAAAAGTGTACTGTAATCTTTAATGACTACAAGTGGGCAAGACCTTGGTTTCACCTCCCACAAGAAAGCTGGAGTTTCTTATGATGATTAATTGCATATAAGATGCAAAGGCAACACAAGGGAAATCAACATCAAGAATGAGTGATTATTAAAACTAGTCCAGAACAAGATATTTTATGCAACATGATAAAATGAAAAGTCACTACTACAAACCTGTGGTTGAAATGAAACTTTGTTTAAAATTTAGTTGGATTAATTTAAATGTTCATTCATGATAAGGATTCTAACTTCACTGGCAACTTTTCTTTCACACTACATCACTTTTTTTTCAATACCCAAGCTATTTATTATTAAGGGCTTCAGTTTTCTGAGCAGCATAGAGAAAATCAGAGTACATGCAGGTCCTATTAGCAATAAATGTACTTGTAAGTACCAAACATAATTCATTAGCAATTTCAACAAAAATAACCATCAGATATTCATTATAGCAAATCACAGACCTAATAGCCATATACCATCTTTCTTTTATTTTCCAAACCATATAACCATAAAAAAAATTAGGGTAAAAAAAAAAAAGAAAAAAAAGCACACCACTAAAGGCCTGTGATAGAGCCTTCAGAACCCTGAAAGACCTTTTAAGCAGAGAAACTGTTTTCCTTCACCCAGTTATCACTCCACACAGATGCTTCAGATGTGGGTGGGACTGTCCCAGGACATGGTTAGAGTGGGGGGAGAACACCCAATACTTTATATTAGCCAGAAACTGTTTCCCAGAGAAATGGCCCACTTAACTATAGAGAAAGAGCCCTGGGGAGTGAAGTTGGCCATAGAAGCACTACAATATTACATTTTCGGAAACCCCTGCCTCTCGATAACTGATCACGGACCTCTCCACTGGTTAAATTCCATGAGGGACACCGACTCCTGGATTCTGAGATGGTATTTAGCCTTATAGTCAGAGGTACAGGCCTTTCAAGTAGCAGACAGATGGGGAACCAAACACCAGAATGCAGATTTCTTTTCCTGGGATGGGAGGTGAGGAGTACTAGAACAGCTGTGGGCCAAGGAAACCTCATCCCACTCCAGTTGGAAGGGCTTAACAGGAGGCACTGCAGTACAGCCAGGCAGCTAGCAGAGGGGAACCTAGGCAACTCACCGCTATAAAGGGACTACACCAGAGCGTGCATCACCAGGAGGGGAACTGCAGCACGAAACAGGGACTCTCACCCAGAGGCCTGCAAGCCAGTCTGCAAGGGGCACCTACAAGCTTCAACACACCTCAAGGAAGCACAGAGAGGTAGGAAGGGACCCAGGAGAGGGTGTTGGCCAGATGGCAGGTGGTGAATGACATCCCTACAGCACTCAAGGGGTCCCTGGGTCAGAACCTGGTAGAGTGGGCAGGCCAGGTCCCCCTGCCTGTCCCTGCTCCCCTTGCCGCAGGCTCTAACAACTAGGCAGCACTGCTGCCACAGACTAACCACTAGGTGGAAGACGTGCCTGTCAATATAGCCCCATTTAGATTTTCTTTTTTGTAATTAACGTTCAGAATCCACAACCACTAACTAACTAGCTCAAGACATTTTGTAGAAAATGCTGGCTATCCTCTATTCTGTAACGGCCACTGGCATCCTGTTCTGTGTCCGCAGGCGAGGCAGTGACAAGGCATAAAATGCCTCCTTACTCCCCTCCACTCAGGATCTGTATTTGAGGGAGCATAGCCTCCACACAGCTGTTACTCTCCCACCCATGAAGGTGGGCAGGGAGTGAGTGGAGCTTTGTTTTCACTCCTACTTCACCAACCCAGATAGCACAGCTGAGCTGCCACACTGGGAAAGTAACTGCACCATATATAGGGCTGGCACAGACTACTTAGTCCCTGACTGATAGTCTGGTTCCCAATCTACTGCTGAGACGGTGTAACTACATGCTGCTCTTATTCTGGTTTGTGACAAAGACACAACTTAGACCAAAATATTTGAGTTTGAGAGTTCAGAAGGTGATAAGTAGGGAGAAAAAAATGCCAACAAAGGTGTTTTTTAAAGGTCTGCAACAAATTTGTCTTTTTAAGGGTCATTTAATGAAGTGAAATTCTACTCCAGCATATAGTTATTTGTGGACCACTTGTAAGAATCTGAATTAAAATCAGCTCAGCGGCCTGCCAATAAAGTCTCCTCTCCGATAAATTAAGTAGCAAACAACAAAACTGCATATGAAGTCACAAAATTCCATATCTGGGTGTGTTTCTTGACATAGGAAGGCTAATTCCATTCTTCCCAGTTTGTTTTATAACTGACTAGACAAATACTACCCCAAATTAACCAATTTTAAAAACGACTTACTCTCAGTCAGTGTTAAGACATTGTTAGAACACATAAGTATCCTGTAGACACAGAACATATCTTATGCCAGATCCAAAGCAAACATTCTACATTATTTGACTGGAATGTATCATTATATGCACATCATCATCCTAAAATCCAGAGTACCTAACAAAGCTTCTTTAGTTCAAGTTGTGATACACAATACATTACCAAAATGTATGCTTCTCAATTTGTTCAGAACTGTGAGATTCATATTAATATTCAAGCCACCAACTTTTTTACTCAGCCTTGCTCCTGTATGACCTTGGTTCTTCCAATGACATGTGGCAATGCATTTGTTTGAAACACACAGAATGAATGTCTTTTTCTATTGTATACGGTTCTCTCCTTGTCTACATTTCACAGGCCTGCACTAAAATAAATGATTTAGAGAGGGTAATAAAACGAGGGAAGAATGATTTACTCTTCGTACCACAAAACAAACAACATAAATCCTATTTACCTCCTAATCTGCTTCCCTAACAGATCTGCACGAAAAATCATGTGCATAATGTGAAAATGGCAACATCAACCAACACAATTCACAAATTCTATATTTTAGATAACTGTTTTCTATAACTAACTTCAGGGAAAGCTGTAGGATACGCCTAACTTTTTGAAAATCAGAATACTTATTCAGGTGCCTAAATATGGACTTACAAGCCTAACTTGAATATCTCGACTCCTTTTTTGAAACCTTAGCCTGACATTTTCATTTACTGTAGTGTACACCATAGTTAAGTTAGCAGTGGCATCTTTATTCTAAAAAGAGCTCATATCACTACAACTAGGTAAAGCTGTATGGGGAACAGGCTGATGCTGCAGTAGTCACAGGAGTATTGCTCAACATGAATAACGGTGAAAGCTCAGACCTTGCACGCTGAAGAACTGGTAAGAAGATTCAAAATATTTTATATATATATATGTATATATATATATATATATATGAGAAAATTACAAAAAGATACTTAAAATACAAAATACTTAGAAAAAAAAACACCACACACACCGAATTTTCTTCCTCCTCTTCCAGCTCCCTTTGTTGTTCCTCATGTCTCTTTGCCTTGATCTCCATAGCTTCTGTGATCAGGTCTCTTAAAATTGAGACTGGTTTGGCATTCTTAATAAAAGTATGCTAGAAAACAAACCATGAAATTATATAACAGAAATCCAACAAATACTTTTCAGCTACAACTTAATTACAAGTAGCATATGTTAAAAATAACATGTTATTCAACATCACAGACTTCAGCGATAAATAGTCTTTCACATCAGACAGAAATTAAAATCTAGATTAGGGAAATATATGATCTCTCTTAGCTGCTTTGCAACTAAATAAAATTTAGCTTTTTTAGTTATTTGGGCTTTTTACACAGCAAGCCATGGGAAAATATAACTATATAATACAACTGCTTTATAGTTAAGGGTGTAATTGTTGAAAGGAAATGTGGATTAGGTAGTAAATAAATACTACCTGTGGTGGTTGTTGAACATAGAAAAATAGTTTTTTTCAGATATTCAGTTACAACATTTAATTAATCTTAACAAGCTGACAACACAATTAGTGGCCATAAGCAGAGCAGCCATTGCTGTTGCTTTCTTCAACAAACCTGTATTTTAATATGTTATGAATTATTTAATCATCTGCAATGCTGAAATGTAAAACAAGCAAAGAATCCCAACTATCTTTTAGCAGGCAGATTATTTTTAATTCAAAACCATTTCAAATATCATTTACCCCTCTTCATATGCATGTTGCTGTCTATAAAGCACCTGTTGTCAGCAAATTCTGATTTCTCCATTAGTATTTACATGGAATTTCTCAGAGCAAGAAAACATATCTGTAGTTCTGAGACTGGCAAAGTAAGTTATTACACCAAATGAAAAATGACAATTAAAAAAACAGCAATGAGCATTTCAGTAGTTGGCTTCTTTTTTTTGGTCTGAGCTTAAATACTGAAGCCTTTAATCTTATTTTTCCTTTCTGTCCTATCATTCAAAAGATGAGCTTTACTGATGCAAGCTAACATCTCTTTGTTATATTCATAATTGTAGCAAAGTAGCTGTTCAATATGCTATCTACAAGCAATCCAGAGACAGCACCTGGGTCTATCCTTGAAATTTAGGGCATGTCTACTACAGCCTTGCTCCCACCGACGTAAGTGCCCTACTACACCAAAATAATAACAACTCCACCTCCACGAGAGGCGTAGGGCTTATGTCAGTGTAGTTAGGGTGACGCAGTGTCCCTGTAGACACTGCCTTACTTACATCAGCTGTTGGTTGTCATTCTTGTCGAATTTCACAGCTCTGTGCTGAAGCTCCCTGCTGTGAACTCCACATCCAGCTCACAGCTTGGGCTGTCACCCTGGGGAAGGTGGGGGGCTCCAGCTAGAGCCCGGCTGTCCCCCAGGCTCCTGGCTCCCCATTGCCAGACAGGGTGCTGCCCGGGCCTCCCACTTGGAGCTGGGCTGCCACCCAGGCTCCTGGCTGTCCGTACCAAACTGGGCTGCCACCTGGCTGCCCACTTGGATCCCTGCTGCCTCCCAGCTCCCCATTTGGATCTGGGAGCCTGGGCAAGAGCCTGGCTCGGAGTGGGGAGCCAGAAGCCCGGACACCAATCCGGCTTGCAGCAGGGAGCCAGAAGCCCAGGCGGCAGCCTGGCCCATGGCGGAGAGCCAGGACCATGGGCAGCAGCAGGGCTCCCAAGAGGAGGGAGCCCGGGCGGCTGCCTGGATCAGAGTGGGGAGACCGGGTGGCAGCCTGGATAAGACCAGGGAGCTGGGAGGCTGGGTGGCACACTGGATCAGAGTAGGGAGCCCAGGCGGCTGCCTGGATCAGAGTGGGGAGACCGGGTGGCAGCTTGGATAAGAGCAGGGAGTTGGGAGGCTGGGTGGCACCCTGGATCAGAGTAGGGAGCCCAGGCGGCAGCACGACTGGGAGTGGGAATCTGGAAGCTCAGGCTGCAGCCCAGCTCGGAGCCGGGAGCCAGAAGCCTGGGTGGCAGCCAGGCTATCAGTGGGGAGTACCACTTGGAGCAGAGGGGCTGTGAACTCAGCCCCTTCCCGCCCCATGCAAGTTGTAGACTTGAAAAACAGAAGTAAATATAGCCCAGGCTGTACATCGACTTAAGTTTGTAGGCTACACATGCCCTTAAGACTATTACTTTTTTCAACTATCGCCTGTTTCTTGTCTCACTCACACCAACTTTACAATGGTGACACTCCACAGAAATACATGGTGCTAATCAATTTACAAGAATATAAATGAGATGGGGAATAAAGCTTGATGTTTGTGACATGGCATAAAACAGTGGATTGATCAGCTGTAGCCGTACATAACTTAGGTATCCAGTGAAAATTAGTATTTCCAGAGTTCATAGTGAACTTATCAAATGCCATGGCTAATATCGCAATGCTTGTAAAATTGTTTTTTCCTTATACAGAATGCTGATTCACCAAACTGATTAAAGCTCTGTTTATATGCTGTCCTGCCACAACTTACCTTACAGCTCGAAGCAGTGATCACAGAAGGAATATGGAAGTACTTCATATCCTTATTTCTGAATTAGGTTGTTCTTTGGCACTACATACTAATACTGTAAATGCAAGAATTTTAATCTCTTTGTAGGGAGTCAGAAAATTCAGGAAAGTAAAAATTTGATATAAAAAACAGAGATTGGTTCATCTCCAGGGCAAGATAATAGTCTCTAAGTGGTGAATTTATGGTTCTGAATAATTAAAGGAAAAATGAGTTCCCAAGAGAATAATTTTTGAGGCTAAGGTGGTGCTGGTCAATAATGAACCCCCTGTAACTTGTTGTGGCATCCGGAGTTAGCATTTTCTTGCCCATCAACTTATCAGAGAATCCAAGGAAGAATTTTGTTTTCACCCAGTTTGATTGTTTATTGGTACTACTGTTAAAATTTAAAATGTAACCACTAGCCTGTCCAAAATGCTTATGGATGAAGAATCAAAAACATGAGAGGAGCAGAAGGCCTAGGTAGTAATATAGACTATCCCCCTATCAAAGTAGGATTATTACCTACAGGAAATTTGAAATTCAATTTGAATTTTTGAAATTGAAAAAACTAACAACAACAAAAGTCAAGAAAAATGTCAACAAAATTCTCATGACGTTTTTTCTCTATTTTTTGACCAATTATATTGCTGTCAGCCAGTCAGTTCTACTTATGCTAGCTGTTCCTTGGAACCTCTGCCTCGAAAATTAGGGTTTTTTAGGCAGCCATGGAAGGGGAAAGCATGGGAATCATGCTGTCATAGGAGATGGTCACTTAGGGAACTGTGCAGAACTACTGGCCTCTGAATAGTCAACCTTGGTGTTTGGCCTGGAATAGATGTGTGGTTTCTTTGAACATGCACTGATATAGTGGGTCAAAATTCTTTTCAACTCTTAAAGAAAGTTTAAGAGAAAACTGGGGTTGTATATTTTACCCCTTTACTAGTTTTCCCTATAAAGGAAACAATCTAGCCTGGTATTTTCAGGACTCCCCACTCTTCTACACTTGTGAATTTTAGTACATCCTCTCACAATACATTACCGAATAGATATCCTAATTCCACAACACTTGCTTTCTTGAAATCTAAAACCCTTGTATTGTTCAGTTCTATTATTCCCATTTCTTGCTATGCAATTTCAGGCAGCCATGGTGTGAACCAGGGACCTCTTGGTGCCAACTGGCAGAGGGGATAGGGAATGCATAGAGTTTTATAGGAATCCTCTGGGTCAGATATATGTATAACAGTTCACCAAAGAGTGATACATAAGGTCTCTACTGAGATCCATTAGCCCACTGGTAGTCATAATCCTTGTGAAATGTATGTACAGATAATATTTAAGGAGTTTATATATCTATACTGAAAATTATGTTTTAAGGTCTTGGAGTTAAAGCAGGTCCCCAGGAGGTAATTTGCCTCACACAGGCTCCTTTTAGGCAGGAGATAACAGAAACTTATCTCCCTTTCTGATCATTTGTACTTTGTCTGCCACAAAAGGAGACCTATTTGCATACTGACCCAGTGCCAGTCAAAAGTTGCAAAATCCACACAACAGAAAATCAACAGGAAGAAACAAAACAGCAGGGAGTGTCCTGTTTATGAACAATGACAAAAGCTTTGGCTACACTGGAACCTGAACAACAAAACTTTTGTCATTCCAGGGTGTGAAAAAACCACACCCCAGAACACAAAAGTTTTGCCAACGAAAAGCGCCGGTGTGAACAGTGCTTTGTCGGCAGGAGAGCTCTCCTGCCAACAAAGCTACCGCTGCACATTGGGGGTGGAAGATTTTTGTCAGCCTGAGAACTCTCTCTGGCCAACAAACAGTGGCTACACTATGCACCTCTTAGTGGCATGGCTGTAGTGGCGTAGTGTAGACATAGCCAAAAGAAGGGACTTGTATATTTGGAGGTGGTGGGTGGGGAACGGAACACAGCAGGTCCTTCACCTGGGAGGCAAGCTGACAGCACGCCTGTCATGAACCTGTTGGGATTCCCTCCAAGACCTTTCCACTAGGCTTATCCAGAACACCTCGCATACTTCTGGAAAAACATTTTATCCAGGTCTCTAGGATCCAAAAAACTCAGTTCGACTCCACTCGTCTCTCAGGTTACTTTGCCTATGCTCGCTAGGCCCAGACACAGGGAGTTTTGGCATAGGGTGATACTGTACCACATTTCCAGTTCATGTCACATACTATACAGTTCATATATGTCTTTCCTAGCTCCTAACAGCTATACTTACATGTAAGGACCAATCGCTTTGCAGATTGCATAAGGCAAGCTTATTAGTGCTGCTTACTTTTGTTTATTATAAACTTATTCATAATAGTTAGTTTAATTAGTTTCCGACTCCCTTTTTTACTAAAAATATATTCACAATAGTTAGTTGTTTCAGCAATTACTTGTTCAGAAGTTACTTGTTCAGGCTTGGCCTGTCTTAACTTGGGCCTGTTCATGTCAGCTAAGTTATCCCTACAAAACCCAGCCAACCTGTTTCTAAAGCCCTGCAAGGATTTTGGGCCTGCATCACTCTACAAGAGATGAGATTATCTAGTTAATTAAGTCTGGCTTTAGAATGCACCTTCTGATTTTATTTCATATGTAACCATTTGCTGCTATTTGAATCTCTGTACTTTGTTATATAAACTTCAAGAAAGAAGGAACATGTGGCCAGAACAAGATTTTCTAATGACCCTTGGTTCCTAGAAATCCTCACAGAAGTTCTGGCCTGAAGCCAGAAAACCAAAGCAGATGCATTGCCTTAGCAACTTGAATACTGACCTGTAGGAGCTGTGTTGCAGTAGCTCTCTGCTCAGGATTCTTCACTAAACATTTTTTCACAAAATCAGTGAACTCATCAGACCAGAGCTCCGGCTTCCGGAATGTTGGCGGTGGATTCGTGGGAATCATAAAAATAGCCTAGTTAAAAAAATTAAAACAAAAACAGAAAGGTGAAAAAAAAATCAGCAAAAATCATAACACTGTAGCCAAATAAACACATTGCTTTATCCAGCTTTTTTTTTTTTTTTAAATCAGACTGAGAATCTGGAGGACAAATTTTAACTGGTCTAGAATTTCCAATACGATTGAGATTCAGGAAGCAAATCCATCTGCTACCAATGCAGCTATTTCCCATTAGATTTCCTCTATTTAAATTGTACCTCATTCAGCACATCATTCTTTATTTTATCTATTACTGTTATCAGTCTCGAGAGAAGATTTTGCCCTTTAAGAACCTCTTAGCAGAAGTCAGGGCACTACCTGGTTCAGCAGATATATCTAAAAATATTGCTGTTGAGAACCAGATCCACTTTCCATCTCTTAACTGAATTTCAATTTTGTACACGCAGAATTGCTGAAGAAAGTCAGATCAATCCTATTTATTTTTACATTCTAAAATTCAGGTGTAATTAAACACCTTGATTCTGCCAATGTGATTTAAAACTAATTCTAAAAATGGATAAGATGCCACTGAAGGCACATTGCAACAATAAAATGTAAACAAAATCATGTCACTAGCTTACTGGTATGAAAAAAGAAAAGTGGCTTATAGAAATTGTGAAAATGGCAACATTTTGCGACAGCCTAACACGGCTGTTCCTCTGAAACCTGTCGGTATGAAAAAGTCTTATAGAAATTGTGAAAATGGCAACATTTTAGCCTATTTGATGAAAACCACATACAGAGAAATTCTCCAGGTGGTACTCCCGGGGGAATTCTGTGCCACTGCACATGCACAGCATTCATGTCCCCTGGAGATTTTTTGTAATGACTTCTGACAGGGAAGCAAAGGAAAGTAGCAAGAACAGTCATGGGCCCCTCCTCAGCAGTGCCAGTGCATTGTTTCAGGTGCTCGGAGTGGGGCTGGGGATGGCCTGGCCAGTGTCTCCTAGCCTGCACTGGGTTCAGCTACTAGTCTTGGCTGGGTGTGGGGGAGGACCGGACTTCCTTTTCCCTTGCAAGGAGCGGCCCGGGGCAGGGGCCGGGGCAGGGGCAGGGGCCGGGGCCTCCAGACCCCCAACCCTGTACCAGACCATCCCTTACTTAGCCCTCACACTCAAACCCCCATCCCAATGAGCCTCACCCCCCTGCACCTGGACCACCCCAATGAGCCCCCCAATCCCAGATTCCTACTCCACTGATCCCAATCAGTTGCACCCAGACCCCCACCTCACCAAGCCCCACTCTCCCCTGCTGAGCTCCCCACACCCAGATGCCCCACATCACCCACACACAAACCTTCCCTGCTGAGCCCTAACCACCTTCACACGGACTCCCCTACACAGTCCCGTTCCCCCTGCACCCGGAACCCGCCAACACCAGGACCTCCCACTAAGCCACCCACACTCAGATTACCCCACACAGAACCTTCTCATCCCACATCTGGATTCCCCCACACTAAGCCGTTCCACACTTGGATCTTGCAAGGCTGAGCCTGCCTGCCCCAAACCTGGATCAGGGGCCAGGGCTGGGTGTGTGTGCGAGACTGTTGCTTGCTATCATGGTGCAACTGGTGTCATGGGGCAAGGCCCTGGCCCTTGCAATGCCAGGGTCGGGTGCAGCCTCACTGAAAAGGCCGTGTCCCCCAGTGGAGGGGGAAAGAAATGCAGGGTGATATCACATCTTCATGCAGCCAGTGGCCTGTGCTTCCCTCTGCTATGCTGGAGCCTCCACATTTATTGACAAATAAAATATGCAGAATTTTGCAGAATTTTAAAATATTGTGTGTAGAATATTTATTTTTTTGGTGTAGAATTCCCTCAGGAGTATAGATTGAAAAAAAAAAATCACACTATATGTCCCTTCTTTGTCCTGTTTAAGTCCAAGAGATTTTGCCACTGATTTTCATGACCCTAGATTTTACCCTACTGAGGAGCTACCTGCATAAGAGGAGGAAAAGAAAGATTAATAGACACCTTTCTGAGGTATCAGTCTGAACCATCACCCTAATAAGGTGTGGGGGGGAAGTTTTTAATCAATGAAGTGCCATACGTTAATATTAAATACGTATGTCATCAGTTACTGTATAGAATTACAAATAGTTGCAAAGAGAGCAGCACATCGTATATTAAGAGAGACCTAAGGTTTAAAAAAAAATTTCATTATTCACTTCTCAAACCAGGTTCAGTTGGGATCACCACTTTTCCCCATGTAAGAAGATGGGGGGGGTCACAAAAACATAGTACTCATTTATTGAAACCATCCTACACAGATAAATGGAACTTTGAAGCAGGGGAAGAAAAAACAAAATGAAATGAGCACAGAGTGATGTAAAAAAATGAGACAATTTATTCGTACCATCTACATAGCATACATACAAACATTTGAAATACTGCTGGGAGGGGAGAGGAGAGAGACACGCATTTGAGATTTTCAGCATAATCCCTGAACATATTTTTGATAGTTTATGAATGCCTAGTATCTTGTTCAAACACCTCAATCTAAAATTAAACTCATAGTCTCAAGAAAAGCAACGTGTGTTGACTGTTGTACAACCAAAATATTCACTATAATCAGGGTCGTCCTTACCCATATGCAAAACACGCAGCTGTGTAGGGCTCTAGGGCACCAAATTTCCTGGTGCCTTGTGCAGCTGCATGCTGCTTCAGCCCCTGCTCCGGCTCTTGCCCAGGGCCCCCACTCCCCTAAGGAGTGCAGCAGGGCCTGGCCTGCACTCACCAGCAGCGGGAGTGCAGTAACCCAGCCCCAGCCGCGCCACCGGTGAGTGCTGGGGGGTGGTTCCCCCTGCTCCCCAAGCCAGCCCCACCCCCCGCGGAGGCCATGGGCCAGCCCCTCCCCCCACGTTCCCCCATCCCGCAGATGCCTGGGGGCTGCGTAGGGCCCCAGAACAAGTAGGGACGGCCCTGACTATAATTTTCAGAGAATAAATATTTCTGTACCAAATAACTGATTTCAATTCAAATACTTGTATTTTATAAATCAGTTCATTATTCATCTAATAGGAAACGTACAGTAACAAATCTGGCCATTTGGTTTAACAAAAGTAATATGCCTGCTGCCATAATGAAAGTTATTTTTCTTTACTTTCTTGGAGAGGGGCACTCTACTCCAATACAAAGTATCCTCAGCCTGGCACTTGAGCTCAGATGCATGAAAGTAGTACTACTGATAGGCCTCCATGCTGGCATTGAACTACTAGTTTGCAGTACCAGACTAATTGTTTATCAGTGTAAATGAAGTACTACTGCTATAAAGCAAAGGATGACAAACTCAGCTGCTTCTGTCCTTGAAGGTAATGATCTCTTTTGAACTTTGAGCTGCTGAGTTGTAGTCTTATCTCAAGATAATCTTAGACTTAACATATAATTTCTGCAGTAGCTATAAGAAACATAAGGATAAAACGGTCTTCTTGTAACTAGTGTTTATATAGTATCATCATAAAATGAGCTAAAAATATACATCTCCTATTTGATCATAAACACTGAACTGTGTGACATACAGAACAAACAAGTCTAAATATATGAGCCATCACATTTAGGGGCAAGGTTATTTCAATTAACTACATAGCAGCTAAGAATCGTATCAAAGAATTTACTTCTTTATAGTCAACAAATGACTGACCATTTATTCTTAAATGGTGAACAATACAAGCTACCAAAGTAACTAACACATATATCTTAAACTTAGGCTCCTAGACCCATATTTACATACTTAAAAAAAAATGGGTAATCAGCACTACTGAATATCAGGCCACTTATTTAGGTGCCTAAACTTGGATTTAGAACCCTAAAACGGTAGGGTCCTGTTTTCTAAAATCTTGACCTATTATTTCTCCTGCAATATGAATCTGCAAAACTATTTTAGATGCACTTTTGTGTTACAAAAACACTGTATAAAGACAATGTGAAATACTGTATATGCAGTACAAAAGTACATATTCAATTAAAATACAAGATCATGGTTTAAACTACAGGGGGAAATGTGAAATTAAACTTTACATTGAACCCCATCTCAATATAGGAAATACTAAAAAACAGGAGGTTATTTTTCCAGAGAAAAGAACAAGATGCTTAGGCAGACAAATTATACACATACATATATGTCAGTCTATATAATTTTATCTGATCTCAAAAACCATTTTGATGGAAGATTGTTAATATCCAGAAATATTAGCTTCCCGGTTTATTTGTGTCTACACAACATGTTGCTTAACTAAACATTTTACCATAAATCAAATGAAAAATAAATCTTGTCTAAATTCTAGTGTTTGTTCAAAACGTTGATCACTTCCTTTTCACAGGTCTTGTTGTACAGCTCCATTCTTTTTTCTCTTCTCTAACTGCTCCTTCATTCCTTGTTGGTGTACTGCCTGGCTCCACCTGAAATCTTCTTCTCGTTTCATACCTTGTACTCACGCCAGAGGTCATCTTGTTCACCCCCCACCCTCCCATTGCTTTAACTATCGCTTTCATACAGGCATTCTTGAATCTATTACACATACATACCTGCAGCGGGGTTGTCACCTGGTCTGGCCCTGACAGAGTTAAAACAGCCTGGGGAAAGGGCTGCCCCGGAAAAGCCAAAAGCTAGGCTGATGGGGAAGGCAGCCACAGCTGGGGCAGTCTCTCCCTAGGTGTGGAGAGAGATGGGCCTGGCTGCTTGGGAACCCACCAGGGTACCTAGAGTGAAGCAGGGCTGGGGAAAGGCCGGAGGAGCTGGGGAGCTCCAGGCTGGAAAACCCCCAGCCTGCAGGCCTTGCTGAAGGCCTAAAGCAGGTACTGGGGTTGCAGAGGGGCAGCCCAAGGTTAGGCAAAGGCAGCAGGTCCAAACCCTCCTTGCGATGATGAGTGGTACAGACTGCAGTCTGCCCCAGTGTGTGGGGGCTAGGTGAGGACTGGCAGTAGCTGCTGAGGCAAGGTGGGGATTCCCTGGGGTGGGGAGACCCAAAGACTGTGGGG